ACCAGGGTTAGAGACCCCTGTACTAACTGTACTGGGGCCTCAGCACCAGGGTTAGAGACCCCTGTACTAACTGGACTGGGGCCTCAGCACCAGGGTTAGAGACCCCTGTACTAACTGGACTGGGGCCTCAGGACCAGGGTTAGAGCCCCCTGTACTAACTGGACTGGGGCCTCAGGACCAGGGTGAGAGACCCCTGTACTAACTGGACTGGGGCCTCAGCACCAGGGTGAGAGACCCCTGTACTAATAGTGCTTTTTTTCCTTCAAACATAGCATTGCGCGTTTCTGCCAAAGACTTCAACTTTTGTCTCATCCGGTCATAGAACATTGTCTCAGAAGCGTTGTGGAACATCCAGGTGGGCTTGAGACTTGAGACGTGCAGCAGTGGTTTCCTCCGTGGTGTCCTTCCATTGACACCATTCTCGTTCAGTGTTTTTCTGATAGTGGACACGTGAACGGAGAGTTTTGCAAGTTCAAGAGATTCCTGAAGGTCCTTTGCTGTTACCCTAAGGCTCTTTTTCACATCCTTCAACATTGCACGCTGCGCTCTTGCTGTAATCTTTGCAGGACGCCCATTCCTAGGGAGAGTGGCAACAGTACTGAATTTCCTTTCTGTGACTGATGGACACCCAGGCCCTTAGAAATGCTTTTGTAGCCTCTCCCAGCTTTATGCATCTCTACAATTCTTCTTCTAAGGTCCTCTGATATTTCTTTTGATCAAGACATGGTTCAAATGAACAGCTCTTTCTTGAGAAGAGCAGATTCTGTCGGTAACCAACCTATGTGTGCTTTTTTTTTATAGGGCAGGGCACCTCCATCCCACACCTCCAATCTCATCTCATCTCATTGATTGGAACACACAACTCCAATTAGTTTTTGGAGAAGTCATTAGCCTAGAGGTTCACATACTTTTTCCAACCTAGACTGTGAATGTTTAAACAATGTGTTCAGTACTGACAAGAAGAAGTACAATTGTTTGTGGGTTATTAGTTTAAACAGATTGTGTTTGTCTAATATTGTGACTTAGTTGAAGAGCAGACCACATTTTATGAGTAATTAATGCAGAAATCCAGGTAATCCCAGAGGGTTCACAAACTTTTTCATGCAACTGTATTTGCTTGTGTTCCTTTAGAGTTTTTCCACCTTAGCAGCAAACCTGGGTGATTCACTTCCAAGCTGTGGGATGAGAGAGCGACCTGTCTGGGTGTGGATGGGAAAGAAAGAGGCCTTACACATGATCTAAGGCTTTTGTAATGTTCCGTTTCTGATGCGGACATACTTTGCATTTTACAGACCATGGAAAACAAAAGTTGGAATGGACAAAAGACAGCTTTTCCCGAAGCGACAAGCAACAGTAAGAGCTTTTCTTTTCTCAATTTTTGTCAGGGGACACTTGCAGGACCCGCTCTCCCAGCTCTGGCAGTTTGTCGGGCTGTTGGATAGAAGCTTGACTGACGGCTCCACTGTTCGCATGTTTGTGCGGGGAGCCTGCGAATTTCCCCTCCCATTCACAGAAGCTTTGCGCGATGCACACTGGAAGTTAAGCCCTCTTCGTGAGCATTGTGGGACCAAGGAATTACAGATCCTTTGCTTTTCCGGGCATGGTTTTGTGTCGCTCAGGATTATGGCGCAGAGCTTCAGTTAGGGGGGTTCAGCAGTCCTGAGTTTCCTGTGGAGCTGGATGTGGCAGGAGGCCGATTTGTAAAATAACTGCAGCACCAAGGGAGATACTGTACCAAGGATGCAAAGTTCCCCTTGTTAGTTGGTATATTTATATTGCACAAATAAAGGACTTTATTGTGTTTGTGTTCCTCTATAATATTAGACATACAAACCATCAGTGCGCCTTCAGTTGTCATGCAAGTTTGAGTCATTCGATGTGGCAGATAGCACTATTGCCTTACATTTCCTGAGTCCAGTGGCTGAGGCACCGTCTGTGTGGTTTCCATGTTCTCCCTGTGTTTGTGTGAGTTTTCACTAGACCCTCTACTTTCCTCCCACTTGCCAAAGACATGCTGGTTAACCTAAGTGGTGTCTGTCCTGCGAAGGACTATGTAGACAGGCACGGACAGGAAGGTGTCTTCAGCCTTGCGTTTCCGGGATAGGCTCAAGGTTGACACCTGTTAATTATTCTTATATACACACGTGTCCAATTTGTCGTCGCCCTTGTGTGCATTTTTTCACATCTCAGCTCACAGTTGTGAACCCTTCAACCGCACAAGGGGGCAGAGCAAAGAAGTGGAAGTGGAGTCTTCCCACCCCTAGGGGGTGCATCCCTCAGCGAGGGCACCACACGCCTGTAGGGAACCTCGGTGCCCAGAGGGGGGCGCTGTGTCAGTTGGGAGGCCGACTAACCCCACTGAACTAAGCATCTGTGATAAAAGTGGCGTTTGCCACCTGTGTTGTCTTAGTTTTCATAACACCCAGTTCAGAATGTACACTTTATTTTTATTAGAGAATGGGGAAAAGTAATTAATGAACGTAATTATTGTTATTACACAAATATTGCTTGGCTGCAAGTTAATACAACTAATGATTAGTTGTTTTAAGAATTATATGCCTGTGTTTTTATAATGGCACAATACTTCTTAATTCATACAGTAAGAAACTGTTTTTTTGACAGTTTCTGACACGTTCTTTGGTGCAGACTTCTTTCCAAAACAGATTAGTTACTAATGAAGTAAATCACAATTGTTTTTTTCGGCTGTTTTGTAAGTTTTATAACCAGAACTCTTATGAAAGCAAGCCCTGTAATGAGATACCCGAGCACAAGGTAATTTGGAGCTCTCCCAGGAGGTGTTTTAAGTTTAACCTAATGAGTAGACACCTCATCTCTTTTGACATTAATTATTCTGCTGTTGGATTCAGTGACTCGTAGGCAGAGTGACTAATCTAAACTTGCAGTGCATCTCACTCAGTGTAGTCTAGGTATCAATATAGAAATGAAGAAGCACCAGTAATGAAGAACATGACCTTTACTGTAAAACATGGCTCTTACATCCCCCTTTTTTCTGCTTCCTTCCTGTCCCCTCTAAAGAACATCGGTATTCCCAACAGCCTCCCGTAGTTCGTTCTAAAGCAAATCACATAGGAAGTGAACACAATACTCACTCCTCTAGTTTGAGAGCAAATGTTGTTCATCTGACTTCTAAACATTTAATTTGACCAAATCTAGGTAACAGATTGTGTATGTATCTTGTCCTGTCATTATGAAGTGGTAAACAGAGCAGCAGTTGACATGGTCTGTAGTGGAGACATTTCCTTTATTGCTTGGACCCGCTAGAAATGAAGCCTAAGTTCTATCCTAAAGCGAGACCCAAGTTCTGCAAGTACTGTAGGTTTTGTGAGCTTTTGGGATCAGAGGACAAAGACCGAGTCCTGGTTCACTGGGCTCCTTCGTGTGTTGCAGTATCGTGGCAGTATTATGCACAAGGCTTTGAACTAAAATGGCTCTTCGGTGCTTTAAAAACCCTATTAACTGTGTTCTGAGGATGTGTTTCAATGATTTCTCTCAGTTAGCCTTACCGTTACTGTGTAAGAGCAGACCAGCTGAGCTCCTTGGTTTTACTAATTGGATTCAGAATCCATGTTCTCGCCTGCTGCTGTCTTGGCTGTTCTGATCCTGCTTGTGTTCAGTCTCTTAATGTCTCTCTGTACTTCCTGCCACTCTCTCTGCTCATCCTCAAGAAGACGCTCTGTGCCCCTTCTCCATTTTCCTACTTCCTGTTCACTCAGCAGCTGCGCTCCTTGGGAATGTCAAATGACTGACTCCCAGAAGTTGTCACCGGATGAAGACTCTCCTGTTTGGACAATGCCTGTGATCACTCAGTTTTGATTACTCCTTCAGTAGCTCCTGCACTGTATTGCTCTAGAAGAGTTTTAATCTTAACTGGGTATTGTAACTAACTCCTTGCGTCTATTCACTGAAGGCATGCAACGTATACCAATAGGGTATCTACAGTACCGCTCTCTGTTCACAGTTCCTATATGTGCTTCCTGTCATGTTAAGATTTCCGGGTTCGTTTCATTTCATTTCACTTGTTTTGTGCTTTTGTGCCCTCGTTTATGGTAATTTTATTTATTTTTCTTCCAGTAGTTGGGGTCATACCTGTTGGTTCTTTACCTGCACTTTAGGTAAACCTTTGTTTTATATTGTAAGTCACTCTGGATAAGGGTGTCTGCTAAGCAGAAAAAAACAACAAAACTAAGCACTGTGAACTGGATGGGACAAGGTTGCTAGAAAGACGAGATGCATTGAACCTCTGTGGTCATGGGCTCACTCACTACGTGTTCCAAGTCAAGGGAGGAAAAAATGTAGCTTGATAGAGATACCAGCCTTTTAAATCAGACGTACAGACTCACAATGGTTGCACTAATAGAATTTAGTAACACTAGATGTTTTACAAGTAATTAGTACACATTGCCATAATAGGCTATCGAATGAGCTGATATGTTAGAGGCTGGGAATATATTATGTTCAGGAAAGGCGATGTATTTTATAATTGAGTTTTAGCCCAAGCTGAAACTTAACCCAGCTTCTTGGGAACATGCAGAAGAGATTAGCGCTCTGTCTCTGAAAAGTATTGACTCCTCTCTGCCACTTCAGTGTGTCGTATCAGTATTGTGTCAGCTTTTTGGCAGGACATTATTTCCCTGACACCTTTTCTAAAGTAATATTTTATAGTCTTGATTTCCAGTTATAATCTTTATAGCTCTGTGTTTTAAATCAAGAACAAGGCCTTAATTTGGACCTTATCCAGTGTAGTGTTCCAAGAGGAAACCCATTATTTTGGGCGGGTCTATAAAAACATTGAAGGAAAAAAAGCTGAGGAAAGCATGTTTTTTTTGTTTATTCTGTCTTCCACTACCAACATCAGATTGTTGCCAGACACATGTCTCATTTTCAATTAATCTCATGTAGGGTCTTTTTTTGTTTGTGAACTTAAAATGTAATGTGTGTGTCAACACACAGACACACACAAGTATGTCTTTGGACTGTCGGAAGAAACTGCAGCACCCTGAGGAACCCCACACAAACACAGGGAGAGCATACAAACTCCACACAGACAGCACCCCAGGTCTGGTATCGAACACAGGGCCCCAGCGCTGCAAGGCAGCAATGCTAACCACTTCCACCCTTTCCAAACATGTGCAACAAATTTTATTATTTTTATTAGTATTATTGTTATTGTTTTATTATAAGAGAGGCTAGGACAGGAGATCACATCCTGAGCTGTAGCTCTGTTGACTTTCCTTCCTCAGTAGGATTGAAAGCTGTACTGATTCTGGCAGGAGTGGAATATTTAAGGGAAGAATATTTGTATAATCCTGGTGTATTTGTAGCTGTGCAGCAGGAAGTGCATCTTTGTCTGCTTTTCCCTGTTAGCAGTGGGTGTATGGACTGGTCTGTCTCTGTTGATCAGTTTCTATGTCTAGGCTGTCGTCAGGCAGTCTGTCCTCTCTGGGCAGCCAGGTTTGCTTGTATAACCCAGTTTTATTCCTAGGCTGTGGTCACCGAACCTGTTTCCCTTCATGGTCTCTCACCCTGGTGAGATACTCAGCCAGTTTGTATTGTCTCTTTAGGGACCAGTAGTATTCCAGTTTGTGTTGTTTTTACATGTCTGTCCCAATGGGTTGAGGTAGTGTTGTTTGGCTTGTGCTGTGTTTTGGGTGACTTCAATGCTGTTGGATAGCTGTACTTTCTCTTTTTACGAGCCAGCTTCTCATGGATCTGTCTGAGGTTTAAGTTTATTTCCTTTTTTCCGACAGGCAAGCTCAAGAGACTGAAAGAAGCAAAGGTCAAATACAAACTGATAATATTTACAGTACTCCCTGAGTCATTCCTTTTTGAACGGGTACTATGAATTCTATTGTTCCCCGTCAGGTAGGAACAATAGCCATTAGTAATGGGTTTTCCCAGTGTTTAAAACTAAAAAGAGTGCCCATTCCCATGACTTCATCCTACATGGAGGAAGGAAGAAAGGCACTACAGCACTGGTCATTTTTCAGAATTCAGAAATGTCGGCTATTTTCCATGAGGCTCTTACAGCTGGGTCACCCTTACGTTTAGGTTTTGGGCTTTACTGACCTTCAGTACCTCTAATAGAGAAGAAATTGGACTTACTGTACTCCCTTATGGAAATTATCTTCTGTCTTTTGTGTATTGGTTGAACTCATGTGTTTTTTTTTATAAGTATCCTGAGCATGTTTCTGAGGGACCAGTAGCATCAGAGACCATTGAAAAAATTGAAAGAGTAGACAAGGGCTGGTGATAACACTTTTACTTATACTGAATGAGAGTGGGTGAAGCAAAGGAGAGGTTTGCATCTTATATTTGGAGATTTTAAGAATAAAACTTTGTCTGGATGGCTGACATGACTTGTAGGCAAAGTGACTAATCTAAAGACATGAAGATTTACAGTTTGTCTTCCTGGAGTTTGACAATTGCTGAACTATTGTGAATAAAAAACCTTTAAAAAGTATCCATTTAATAATTGTACACTATGTGGCTGATGTCAGAAGTCTTTGTATCAGAGGGAATTAAGCTCCTGCTGCTTCACTGGCTAATAGTTTTTAGACGGAGGTTTCTGTAATTTTAAGATTCAGCTTGAGGTCTGGTAAGGTGGAGACTGTGGCGGCTAATGTTTGTATTCATTTCTTTTTTGCCTTGTTTATCTTCCATAGAGTGAAATTGAATTTTTAGAAAAGCCACCAATTAGAGCGCAGGCTGGAAAGCCTACTTTGTTGATGTAAATCAAAAGGCAAGGCCCAACTACAGCTGTAAAAGCACTTGAACAGCCTTTGGGACTCTGACCTGTCAGAGAATAGCCCTTTCTGATTTTACATACACTGGGTTTCAATATATTATTCTCAAGGCATAGCACTGATTGATTGAGTCCTCATAAAATGTAGGAAACGATATTGCTCTTCGTCCAGGTCTGTCAGGCACATGTTAATGGTGAAACCTGGAGCTTGTTTTGAAGTTTAAGCTTTCGCCAGGCAGATGTGGGTCGCTCGGACTAAGCCAGCCCAGCAGCAAAGCCGAAGGCCGGGTTGAGATGAGGCGTTATGTGCGTCTGTAAATGGCTTCGTTCGGTATCAGTGACAGCCCCCTCTGTCGTTCTCCTTCCGTCCTCAGCTCAGAAGGGAATTCTCCACCTCTCCCCTGACGTTTACCAGGAGATGGAAGCGAGCAGGAACAAGGTTGGTCCCGGTGCTGTGGCGAACTATCTGACTCCCAAAGACATGGGCCAGGGCTCCAGTTCGTTCTTCACCGGCAGCACCAGCAACACCGTGGCCATTGCCAGGGAGCTTTTGCTCAATGGAGCTTCCCCCACAGCAGAAGCCATCGGCCTGAAAGGAAAAGCACCTGCTTCGCCCTGCGCCTCTGTGCAGCCTTCCCAGCAGCTGGAGTACTTGGCTAGGATTCAAGGCTTTCAGGTACGGAAAAAAAAAAACAGAGCTGTTTTGCAGAACTCCCAGCCTTGCCATGGCTGAGCCTGTTAGGGTTTCAGACTGCGGCATTTATCATTCTCCTGTTTGCTCAGGTCTTCCCTATTTTTTGTAGAGGCTGGAGGATTATCATTTTTTTCCCTGCTTCATTTATAGTTTTCTCAATAAAGTCTATATCCAAAAAAAACATAAGAGGAATCGCCTAGGTTTTTGCATACTGTTTATCACTGTGGATCATATAGAAATATTATTAGGATTCTTATCAACATATACAATCAAAACGTGATATTTTGGGGGCATTTTTTCATAGGCCAAAAAAACGCTTGTTTTTGCAACAGTGATGGTGGTTGATGTGTATTTCATTTGTTTCAGTTAAAGCATTGATTGGCGGCAAAATAACATCCCAAATGAGGGAGATAATTGCAGGAAAAAGAACTGAGACATGGCTTCTCTCCAACCAAGAGTCCCTTCAAGTCAAGTTGAGTGCAAATTAAGTTAATGACTGAAAGATATGCTTTACAGTCCGTAGAGGAAGCCTTTAAACTTCTGTCCATGAGACAGGGGAAGTGACATCTTGGCATTCTGAGCTTTCTATTCTAGTGCTGGAGGCTATTGTTATAGTCGTGAAAGAGAGAACAGACTGAATGGATGATCGGTGTAAAGGATATAAGTCAAGAACCTGAGAGCAGCTGCTGAAAGACTGAGACAGCGTGGAGAGCTCTGGTACAAGTGTGGCGTAGTGGTTAGAGCTGTGGACTTGCAAGTGGGAGGTTAGGGGTTCAAATCCCAGGCGAGATACTGTTGTCATGCCCTTGAACAATATACTTCACCTGAATAGCTGTAGAAGAATACCCTGTCATATAAATGGGCGCACATTTGTGTCACTTTAGATTACTGGATCAGCCCAATTAACTGTAGGACTGTGTCAGAAAAGTAGTTTGATCGTTAAGTACCATGTAGATGAGGAATATTGACAAGTTTATCCCATAAAAGTTTTAAAATACCGATACATCACTGCTCCATATACCCTTGGACCGTTGTGAGGATCTGTGGGGAGGCGAAAGATCTTGAGTGCAGTGTTGCAGCTGTTAGTTTTGCAATGGCAGCATGAGGGGCCTGATTTCGTTTTAAACCTGAACTGACATTAAGAGATGTTTGAGACTTCCCGATGATGAGTCTTCCCTATGCAGTAGGTTGGGGACAATAGTAAATACAGGGAAATTAAGGCCTGGAAAATATGAATCACTTCATTTTTTAAAAATAAAAAATCCTATAAATATTTCATATATTTCTAGCCACATAATAAACCGGTGTGCAAAAATATTGGGGTTCATCTCTTACTAAAATCCAGGCATCTCTGTGTTTCTTTATTACTATACATTTAAAGGAGCTGATAGTAACATAGGACAGTTAGAGTTCTAGGTATATCTGACTACTCCCCCTTCAATCATGTTTTTAACTCCCTTGTATCACCTGTTAAAAGGAGGTGCCTGTTACGCACCTGTAAATTGGAAGCAAGAGTTTTCAAGCACTTTCAACCTACTGAGAATTCTTTTGAAGATCTTGTTCTTGCTTTGATTTTTCCCGTGCTCTGAAACCTGATGAAGCAATGCAGAAACATAAACATGGGGCTTTAGTTGAGACAGCAGCTGTAAAACATAACATTGCTTGACAGTGTGCAAGACTTCACATTCGATAACAAAAAGCTAACCATCCAGACAACTAACAGTTTTTTTAGTATTATTTTTGGTATCATGACATATTGCTCATAGCTTTTTTTTGTTTAAGATACACAAGTATCCGCACACCTAATTCAAGTATGATGTGATATTTATTTTTTGTGTACTATATTTACAATGATGAAAGTTCAAATTAATTTCCCTAAAACCTTATTTAGTATTGTTTTAAATAAAAATGACACAAATTAGTATTATTAGGTGTCAGGATTAGAAGGTGTTGGGGTTAGAAAGTGACACACTCTGTAACGTGATTTGCTGACCCTTGCTAAAATTTTCAACAACTCGCATAGAGCTCAGGTAACACTCCACTATCTCTAATGAGCTGCACTGTCACTTTTAACATTGATAAGCATAACCGTTTCTGCCATTTCCACAGAAACAGCTCTGATGACTTTCTAGCTATCGAGTGTCGTTTCCCCCAGTACCATCCTAGGGATGTTGGCTAAAGGAAGAAGGTCAGCTTGACTGGCAGTAATTGAAGTTACCCATCCTGTGTATGCGTCGAAGTGCATTAAAATAACATTAACTGAGTTACGTTTGCCATGAACGACCTGAAATGGGTATTGCAACAATTGGCTCGGTTCCTATGATTGTCAAATTAGCTTCTTTGATTTTGTTGTTTTAAAACCTTTAAATTAAACCAAAAACCTGCCTTTGTGTATATTTAGAGGTTACTCCTTAATTCCCGTTGAAATAGCCCTTCTGTTTAACTCTCAGATAACATCTGTTGCTTGAGTTTAAATGTGTCAGTTGCCTTCACCCATTGTGACCTTGAGGTCGGATAGCCCTTATTACAGATGTGACTAGATAACTAAGCAATTTGAAATGGGAAAATAATCTGATCAACTGCTAACTGCTTTGCAGCCCATTGGAGGCTTTAATGGGGCGGAGCAGTGGCTCTGTGGCTAAGGATCTGCGCCTGTGTCTGGAAGGTTGCCAGTTCAAATCCCACGGCCGGCAGAGGAATCCCACTCCGTTGGGCCCCTGAGCAAGGCCCTTAACCCCAGCCGCTCCAAGGGGCGCCGTATAAATGGCTGACCCTGCGCTCTGACCCCAGGCTTTTCTCGCTGTCTGTCTCCTGGAGAGCAAGCTGGGGTATGCGAAAAGACAAATTCCTAATGTAAGAAATTGTATATGACTAATAAAGTGATCTTATCTTATCTTAATTGGTTCAGAGGGACTAGAAGAATTTGTGAGAAATATTTAGCTTGATGTAGAGGGTATTATTATTACTGCTGCTAAAGAGAAAGGTATTTTTCTTGTTAAATGAGGTAGTTTTGCTGCAACAAAAGGAATGAGGCACTTGTGTACTTGCGTGTGAAATGTGATGTCGCATGATGTTATGTTAAAATTTTACTTGAACTTCCCCACAAAAACAATAAATACAAATACTGCCATTGTGATTTTGAATCTGTGAACTGTTGGCAAGATCTCCTATGTTGTCTCTTTCATTCCACACTGCGAAATTGAATGTAAATCTTATTTTAAGTCAAGAGAAATCATTTTTCACCTTTAAAAGGCAAGAAATATACAAGGGAACTGCAAACCATGAAGGACCTTTTCTTTTGTGATAATAATACAGAAAGGTCATAGCTCCACAAAAGCAATTCCAGTTTAGGCTGCATTCGGATCAGTTAAATTGCAGGTCAGGTAAGGTTGAAGGAGAATGGAGAAATAATTAGGAAATCCGTCTCAGGATTTCCCAGGGCCACATCTGTGAGTGCGATTTATGTTAAATCCCAGGTAATGGAGGCCGTTTCAAAATAAACATGAAAGTGAACATTAATAGAATCACCACAGACTCGTGGAAGAACCCACTTCATCCCCCGATACTTTAACCATATCTTGGGCACAGTAAATTGTTAAACTTGCACTTTGTCAGTTCAGCAGTATCAGTGCTCACTGGGGAAGGGCATGGTTGGTAAGTGGACTGTACGGGACAGTTACATTTCCAGTGGGGTTGGTGTTTTGTTTTGTGAGCTAAAAGACCGGGGTATAATGTTTTGCTAGAGGTCGCACGTTTCCAGCAGGCATCACTACACATCGCAGCAGCCCCGGAAGACGAGCTCTGGCTCCAAGCTCGCGGGTGTGAGTGTTTGCAATTAGTTTGACTGTGCAGAGCTGGCCTGCCTCCGTACGTGAGGGGGAGCAGCACCGAGATCCGCGAAACGGGCAGAGTAATGCGCAGCACATGCGCGCTCGCGTGAGGGCGTAGTGATGTCTGTGCTTAGCAGCCGGGCCGACGGAGAGGCTGTGTTTTCTGACTGCGGGCCCCCCCCTATCTCTCACACACACACACACTCACACACCCCCGTCTGGGGCCGGCTGGGGCCTCACGGCGCCGTCCTCATGGAGCGGCTGTTGAGGCTGTGGGGCGGCGGCAGAGCCCCGCCAGGCTTAGATGACTGGGGTGAGGTGGAGCAGAGAAGGCAATCTCTGTGGGAACCTTCATCCCAGCGTCGGGTGCCAGCCGGGGGGCCTTTCTAAAGAGCTCTTTGTGCTGCCGCCCCGGGCAGGCTGCACGCTTACCTGCTCGAGAGCTGGCCTCTCGTCCCTGCTTCCTGGTCCCTGTCCCTGTCCCTGCCTCCTGGTCCCTGTCCCTGTCCCTCCCCCGTCCCTGCCTCCTGGTCCCTGTCCCTGTCCCTCCCCCGTCCCTGCCTCCTGGTCCCTGTCCCTGTCCCTCCCCCGTCCCTGCCTCCTGGTCTCTGACGCTGGGATGCTTCGGTAGATCTGAGGCCCCGGAATGAATGCACGACTGTACAGGATTTGCGGAGTGAGGTTGCGGTGTTCCTCCTTTGCTGCGGCTCCCTGTTTGAAACGCCCTGCTCTTCCCCGTGCAGAGGGTTCCAGCCTGCCGAGGTCGTGTCTGTGTAACTGAGCTCCAGCACCATTTCCCGAGATCCTCATAATTTATGAAGAAGAAACTAACAATTTACATTTGACCTTTTTTGGCTGAACAGACTCGGTGATACAGAACAGGGAGGGTGGTGATTTTGCAGAAAGGGAAAACTGATTCTCATTTTCGTGCAAATAATTCACTTTGACTGCATTTATATAATGTGTACTTTTAGGATATTTTGTCTCGGAGATTAGTCTGTAATATTTCTTTTTACGATTTTAAGCTGAGTGTGTTGCACAGAATTCTTCCACTTTCTCTGTGGTATATACCTCCATAGAATTGCAGCTTTTATTTGCAGTTTAATGTTTTAGACCCATGCCAGGTGAAATTGGATATATTAACTAACTGTC